AAAAAATCATCATTCCATCACAATATGAAATGTATATAGAGTTTCAAGCCAAGAATGTATTGAAACTGAGATAGTATTATAATTATATCAAGCTTCATCAACTATCCCAACAAAAAGAAATTACTCCATTATGCAGTAAGAAAAGCTAAAAAATACTTTCAAAAGACTAAGAATATTTTTACTACAAAGAGAAATATTAGAGGAAGAGACCAAGATTACTCTTCTCTTTCTCTTTAGAAACTTAGAAAAAAACTAGATAGAAAATTGGATACAAAGAGGGATGCCCTTTCTTCTAAAAACATATGGCTATTTACAGGAAAATTCCTACAAGGCCTTGGTGAGAAATTGCAATATAATATTAATATATCATATGACCTTGATGAGAAATTGACATGGCAATTTGTCATGAAATTTTGGTGAGAATTTGCCATAACTTTTGTATCTCTTGATTTTATAAAGTCTTAGATGAAGTTGTCACGGATGCATCCTTCTTCCTTGAACCGTAGATCTTTCTTTTTCTCTTTTTCCATGTATTCTTTTTCCTGCACGAATTGTTAGAAAAGCACGAGAATAGGATATAAATTGGTCATGTTTTATATTTAAAATATTATATTTTTATATTAAAATATATGAATAATTTATATCCATCACATGTCATTAATTTCATCGACGAAATCATTTTTTGTTGTCAAGATCACACGGGAATCTGTACAGGATGAATTAGAGCATAACGAATCCAAGTTTGAATGTCGCTGTGAATAGTTTATCAAGAGATTCTTTTTCGGTTGTGTAAGGAATATTCAAAGAATCTGGAATTTCAATCTTGCTTGCTGAATTGACTCGTTCTTGTCCATTTCCAATTCTTAACAAATAATCATAAAATGCAGGATCTGTTTTTGCTCTCATATTCTCAAATAATTTTAATTTTTCAAGTTCATTCCAAATGCTAGAATATAATAAACTTCCGTTGATGAAATCTTCTTTTTTTCCATAGCGCACAACAGGAAAGTTTGTCTGAAGTCACCTCCTAAAACAACAACTTTTCCGCCAAATAATGCATTTGTATCCATCAGATCTTTTAAGAGTAGATCAAAAACTTCCAACATTCTTTTTTTGGCCATAGATATCTCATCCCATACAATCAATTTTGCATCTCGGATTAAACCTGCAAGTGCGCTTTCTTTGCTAATGTTACAACTGGCATTTTCATTGATGTGAATAGGAATTTTGAAACGTGAATGAGCAGTACGTCCTCCCGGGAGAATAAAAGCGGCAACACCAGAAGTAGTTGTTGCCAAAGCTATATATCCCATGGATCGTACAGTTGCTAATAAAGCACGGTACAAAAAAGTTTTCCCTGTTCCTCCTGGACCATCTACAAAAAAATGCGCCTGGTTTATTCGAAAATATCCTTTCAGTAATCACATTATATGCAATCAGTTAATTTTTGTTTAATTTCCAATGCAGTAATACGTCATCTTCGCTAACAATAATAGATCTTTCAAAATGAATCTCTTTTGCCTCTTTTGCTGCTGTAGAAGGCCTGATAGTTTCTGGAATAAGTTCATACTCATTTACATCATGACCCATAGAATGTAAAATGTCATTGATATGGTTCAGAGCTTGATATCGAATTTCTCTTCTTTCAATAGTTTGTAACACTTTATAGTCATCAATCATCGATTCTTCAAATTGTTCCCATAATTTTCTGGGGTTGGCGGGACCACAATACACCAATAATGTAGCAAATAAACGCCTTAAACTATATGGCATTTGGTAACTTGCGGCCTCATACATACACTCTATCAAGCTATTATCACAGTGTAGTAATCCTCTTTTTTCTACGGACTCTCTGAAAGTACTACAAGGCTCTCCATTTACTGTCAAAAGATCCTTATATGACTTCGGTCCTCGCACATGCATTAGTAATAATCTAAGATAATATCGTTCTCCTTCTGTTGGATGACATGTCACAATACGGCCAACAGCACAACGTTTTTGTCTACGTGCCCAAAATTTGTCACTGGAAGATCAGACGAAGTATTCAGGGAATTCTTTGTACAATAAGTTGAGCTCTTTAGCATCTTCGTCGGTGTTATTCATGTAGAAGAATTCAGTTAACATTGTTTTTTGGATCATCGGATTGTTCACAATTGTATGTATATCCGCGTTGCTCTTAAAGGAAACAAATTGTTGACCTTCAAGATGTAGCTGAAGACGATAAACGCTAGGAGTCATTTCGCTTATAGGAAAACCAAAGAGACGCCATACAGCTTTCGGAGGTGATACCCATCTAGCAGATCGATATTCTTTGACCTCATCTATCTCTATGTCCGTATCGTTATTTTGTACACAAAATGCAATTTTGTCATGTCCTTTACAAATGTATTTGTAGAGATATTTCACGACTTTGATGTCGGAGCACACTTCAACATTTATGTGACAGTTGAATTTCCCAAGTAAATAAGGATTATATGGAACAACCCAAGAGTTATCTAAATATTGTTCTCTTACTTTTACAACTTCCCCTGTATTTCGTCTTCTGTAAACTGGATAAGAATCATTTCCTTTCGATGTTTGATCGGTAAACATTTTGGATATTTGAACTTGCAGTAACCCTTTTTTTTCATGCAAGAATTTGTTGGATCTAAACTACCGCAAGGACCGTGCATCATATGCTTGATGACAATCTTACGCAAATCTGGTTCTGCCTTACCATCTGGTAATTCTGCTCTAATTATATCATCGTATGCTTCTGCTGTCAACAGTTTGTGCTTATTACCTAGTATAATGAGAATATGAGCATGGGATAAACCTCGTTTCTGAAACTCCACAGTATACATAAAAGCAACAACTTTTCCAAAGATATTTCGTTTTAATATATCCGTCTTCAGCTCTTCTATTTTAGCTCTGAACACTCGAGTAATCAAATCAGGCCTATTTTGTGCTTCGTCAGTTGACCATAGTTGTTCTTTTATTTCTGTCCAAGATAGGTTACATGTCATAGTTATAAATAAATCAGGTTTTCTGAAACGTTGCACCAATGCAATAGCATCCATATAACGTTGACGCATATCTCTAGGACCTCCTATGAAAGAATTTGGCAAAAATGTTTGTTTTCCAACATTGGAAGCATCTCGTTCGCCAAGTCTTAGAATATCAAAGAAGTCCTTGCAGTATACCCATTCTGAACAAATCTTGATTGAACGAAACAAAGTCCAACCTTTGTGTCTCCAATTTTATATATTCATCAACCGAATACTGCTGGAATAACCTTCCGGTATGCAAAATTTCATCTTCATCATTGTTCCTCATCTGAAGTTTGTAACAATAGTATTCACGAACTGAAACAACATCTCTTTTGCGTTTTCTTTTTTGCAGATTTTGAGCTTCCATATCAAGATATCCATCAACAGAGGTGAATTTTTTTATATTCGGCAATTGTTCAAATTCAAGAGTGCGACTTCTAGGAATGTTTTCTGGTTTGGGAAGCTTTTTAATACCACAGTGCCACCCGCTTTGACCATGTGGAAATAACAACGGGTACTGTAAAGGGTCATAACACCCAAAATAATAGTTCACTCTTTGTGTCTTGTCACTGTGAGTATAAATTTGAAGATGTGGTGTATGAATAGCAGAACCATCATTTTCATCAACCCATATTGCTGCAATTTCAGTAGTAGTAGGCACATTATATACACGTTGATCCAATCCAGTGTCACATTTTAGTGCTATATGAAAGTTTTGGAAGTTCGACATGTCTGTTTAGGATCGCAGAAACATTGAGTATGGATTATCTTTTAGTATGTCCATAAGTTCGTTCACTATTGATTCATTTAATTTATCTGAACAAGCCATTCTATTTTCAAGCTCATTTGCATTATCATAAAAGTAGAGTTGCAAATTTCTCGGCCCTCTTTCTTTGGGATATAAATCATCTATCAAGTGATACATCTGTCCTTGAACTCTGAATGTATAGTTACCACGGTTTCTCTTGGCTAAATCTTTGTCATAATTGACACCAAGTGACGTAAAGGCAAACATATTATTATATGTTCTGATGTACGTTTGAAAGTGCTTGGATTTTGCGTTGTTTCCCATATATAAATTTCTTAGTTTAGCTGGCATTTGATGGGAGGGTAACTTCACTGTACCACTGCTACAGCAAAATCCAGGGGGTTCATACTCAAATTTTTTCGCGTGACAAAATTTACAATTTGGAACCTTTTTTAGTAGAACATAATTAGAACGTAGTTGATTAATATTAGTTGTAGTTTTTTTATTCCTTAGATGGCCTGCATATTTCAAATATCTTTAAGAGACAGAAACCAAGAAAATGATAAAACCAGCTAAGGGTGACGGTGATACGAACCTTTAGTTGTAACTGTTTTAGAGGTTAAAGCACATGATTCATTTGTAGTTTCTGATGTTGAGCCTGGTTATGGATTCACAACCCTACCTTTTTCAGAAACAGGGGTTGGATGAAGCATGTTTTTATCCTTCTGAACTGCATATGCTGGCGTTAAAAGCTCACAATCAATGACAACTGTAGTAATAACTTGTGCGTAGGCATAAACGACATAAAGCCAACTAAATAGTCAATAATATGATACATCTGAACTCTAAATGTGTAAATACGACAATGTAAAAATATTATGCAAACTGGAAAATGTAATATAAACACTAACATTACATGTTTCATCAATCATGGAGGGATTGCAGATATCTTCCTTTTTTTTAAATTATCCCGTGATGTAGTTACACAAACTTGCTGGGTGGTAGCTGCTTAACAAAGTAGGTGAGATGCTTAAAGGTACATAGTAAAGCATTAATAGGCACCAAAAAGTTATTTAAATTTAAGATCTCAAAAGTAATAGCTTGAAGGTTAGACCAGTATGGCATGAATGATACTGAAGGACTGTAAAGGTGGAATTTCTAAAAAAAAGAAGAAAACAAAAACTTTCGAACTTCATCTTTAATTTCTCCTGTTTTATGTTCACATGAGATTTGACATTCTAAATCTGTCATAATTGACACCAAGTGATGTAATGGCAAACAGGTTATTTTATATTATAATGTACGTTTGGAAGTGCTTGGATTCTGCATTGTTTCCCATATATAAATTTCTCAGTTTAGCTGACATTCGACGGGAGGTGAAGCTCATTGTACCACTGCCACTACAAAATCCAGGGCGTTCATACTCAAATTTTTTAACAGAACATAGTCGGAGCGTAATTATGTAATGTTAATCATAGATTTCTTATTCTTTAGACAACCTGCATAGTGCAGACAATTCTAAGCAACGAAAACAGAACAAATGGTAAAATCAATAAAGGATGATGGTTAAACTAACCTTTAGTTGTAGATGTATCCAAGATTGGAGTACATAAATCATTTGCTGTACCCGATGTCGAGCCTGATTCATCACAGTTGTTCGATTAATTAATGTGCACAATTCACACACGGACTTAAATACACATTACATCTCTGTTGTCCTACCTTTTTCAAAAACATGGAAAGGATGAATCACATCTTTCTCGCTATGAAAGACATCCAATGAGGGAAAAATTGTACGCTCAATAACTGGATGATGAGAATGACATGTTAATCACTGTACATGTATATAATACAAAAGGGAAAAAACAAAAAGGAAGTAATAAAAGGATAGGAGATTTGCTGTATTAACCTAATTCTGAAGAAGAACAAAAAGCTCCAATAGTGAGATCATCCTGTAATTTAGATGTTGTTCCAATGGGATTTACGTGATGTGCATTTGCAAGAAGGCGATTAGTTTTTGTTTGACGATTTTTGAGGCGACGTTGCAACAATATTTTTTCTTTCTCAGTGGCTGCTACCCGAACATCTATTTTACGGTGTTTGGCATTCTTATCATCAGCTTCTGTCACCGAGCGAGAACTTTTTTTTGATTGTCGACTATCCATTAATGTGTTTTTTCACAACTGTCGATATCGTAGGTGTCGTACACGTGTTCCTGCAACATTATAATTAAATTTTCTTCATCAATAGCAGAGATGTCAAGGAAGAAATAATTAGGTAACAACCAAAGAAAGCAGAACTATTTGGCATTGTAAAATAGGATATCATAGTACAAATAACAACTAAGCATGAACAAAGATAGGAACGTGTATAGACATGTAATTTAAAGAGTTGTCTATCTAATAAGCTGCTTTAACCAATAGTGCAGCATTGGTCAAACACAAATTAACGAACAAACTAACAACAGAGACAGAGTGAATCTATGTCTATTAAGTAATGAGAATTAGACAAAAGTAATTATTTTGCAAAGAAAAATGATTTCATAGATGTCTTGTGAAGCTTAAGCAATAATCAGAAAGTGGAATGGAAATATCATTTTGATCGCTAAAAGTTTACTGTATGACAAAATACGATACGAATTCTTGAATCAATTTTATTATCTAGAACTTCCAAATTACCATCATCTCCATTTTAATTCTACTTATTCCTTGTTGTGTTATATATATTCCGGAAGCAGTCAACATATAACTAAATTTTTTCATAATTTGCATGTAAAATGATAGTAATTAAGTTTTTAGGTATTATTCATTATTACAGAAGAGCTACAAGAGCATGTTAAATAACATTCTGAGCTAATTAGCAATTTCCAAGGCCAGTCTTCTCCTTTTTATTTCACACATCCTATATTGAAAATCTTCATCCAACAAATTTTAGAAGAAGTTAGGGAATTGCTTGATTGCTTCATAATTATTAGAAACGATTCAAATCCTTATCACCAATTCCCTTTTGTTCTACTTGTTCCATTTAATAGTTGAAACTTCTAATAAGTTTCATTCCTTGAACCATATTCCAATGTGAAGTTTTCACAATGTTGAACACTTTTTAGCATGATGGCAATATTTGAATTTTTCTAAAGGATATCAAAATTTGATGTTGCTGCTCTGGTTTTCTATTGCTTTCATTTGTGAACAAAAATTAGTAAACAGTCCTACTAATTCACTGTTTTGCTCATTTCATCAATAACTTTTCAGTTTTTGTGCCAGGTATTTAGAATCTTAACCTCATTGCTAGAAATTTTTCTTGGTTTGGGTTTCTTTTTCAGTATTTTGTAGTACGCGAAAACATTAATATCCATTAATATTAATGTGAACGTGTTGTATGAGTAAGACTACCATAAATCAGCAGGCAGCTTTAAAGAAAGAGCTGCCGAATTTTTTATGTCCATCGTAATTCCTTTCGGGCAATTTCACAAATACTTCTACTACGAACCCAGTGCAGTTTATGTAATAAAAAACTCAAATCTGTTCTTACCGCCCTTCAAAAGAGGTAAAACAGATAAAAATTAAAACTAAGCTCAGGAAAGAGCAATTTGAAGGAGCAATTTGAAAGACGCACAACATCAAGTACAATAATATATCAAAAATACTCAGTCAAACATTTCTACCTTCCTGGAGAAATAACTACAAAGTTTAATCAAATCAAACACAATAGAGGATAGGGGGGACATGTAAACAGTTCCATGTCATTGCCAACTAATCACTTATCATCAACGAAATTATACTCCATTAATGGAACATCAAATGTTCATATGTTATTTGTCTTCATGGCTTCCGACCCTCATTAACCAATGTTCATGTACCAATTAATAACTTTTCACAGAAAGCTACTTCAACCTCTAGCTAGTCTTTAAATCTTTTCTATCCAAGTAAACTATCGTTGTGTAGATTTGTCAATCTTTCCAACCATGAATAGGACCCACAAGCTTATCGCAGGCTAATGTACAAGAACAATAAATTGATCAACTTTTTGGTAGTGCACGAATCCTTTGGTAAAATTGCATGTTCACGTAAACTTATAAGTATTTCATAAATTGATTTGCTCCACAACTAACTGAACAAATGTAGATATGATGTTTTAGCATATAATTTGAAGTTGTGAGTTAAGATTTCTTGAAACAGCATATTAAGAAAAAGTTTAGGTGAATCGTAGTTTCTTTCGGGCAATTTCACAAACACTTCTAATGTAACCCCAAAGGCAATTTTTATAATAACAGACCCAAATCTGTTTTTACTGCAGTTCGACCTAGGTCAAACAGATGAAAATTAAGAGTAACTCCGGGAAAGAGGAAGTTGAACACGAAGAACGGTGAGCAGCAACAACACATACCAATTAGCTTACAATTTGACATAAAAGTAGTCTAAATCTTCTATCCAAGTTCAATTCAAAACATGAGAAACAAAGATTGTTCAAATTAAATACCTACTGAATCTTAAATCTAAATAGTGGCGGTAATCATACCTTTACTGTATATCATACAGCAAACTGAAAGACGAAGCAAAGAAGAGGAGGAACTTGAGAAATCGTCAAAGGAAAGGAGAAACTTGAGATCAAACAAAATGGAGAAAGCCGAGACAATAGTGTACCCAAAGCGGAGCTAGGTAGCGACGTGTCGTAGCTGGAAGAAAGCGGGCAGCACGCGTGGAACTATAACGTTGGGTATTTTGATTAAATTACAATGAAATCCTTCTGACCCGCTTTCTAACCGGATGCTGGTCTTTTGTTTAACCTGATGCAGCTCATCATTCCCGCTTATTAATAGTAGTAAATATCACTAAAGAACACACTCGACACGTTTGCATTTGCACTCTGCCTTGACAATTGTCACACACAGAGAGACTAGAATAAACAAAGAGAAAACCGCGATGAAATCCATTTTCTGCTCAACACTTTGAATGGTTTTCATGTTAATAAAAATAAAAAGAACTCGTATGAGTCATGACTACAGAAGAACAGAGAACGGAAAGGATGGATGAGCGAGGGAGAGTAAAGACTTGACTTTTCACGTTGGGGTTTGAAACTATTTCCAAAATTTCCATTTTAGAAGACAAAAACAGTAAATAAATAAATAAATAAAATGCCCGCCAAAAGAAACTGCAAATCAAGAAGCACTTGCTACTTTAGTAGTCCCAACCGCCTATCATACTCCTCATCAGAACAAACCTTGCAATCAATTACCAGTATAAACACTCTCAAACTTCAATCACCATTGGAATCAAGAAACACAGCAATGGATCTCCATCCCTATACTTTCACTCTCCCTTTCTTCTTCTGCTTTCTACTTTCTTGTGGTTCCTCCACCCCTACACCACTATCTCCACCACCCTCTTCCTCTGCCCATGCTGCTGCAGACGCACTACGCAACCGTGGCTACTCCCTCTTTGCTTCCACCCTCGACTCCTCCACCACCACCACCAACAATTTCTCCGGCACAGTTTTGGCTCCACCAGACTTCATTTTCTCCTTCGCCACCGCCAATATTTTCCCCCCACGCCCCTCCTCTGTTATCCTTCTTTACCACACTCTCAAGATCCCTCTCACATGGGCCCACCTGTCGTCCACTTCCAACGGCGCTGAAATTCCAACTCTTTACAGTAACAATTGTCTCTTCCTCTTCAAGAGTTTAGCAGGAGAAATATTAATTTCTTCGAGAAATACTTCAATTGGGGCTGTTAAAATCAGGCAACCTGACATCTACGTGGGCGATCATATCACCGTTCACGGAATCGACGGTGTACTGGACGCCACGTCAGCAACAGAATGCTCAGTTCCTCAAGTTCAAACTCGAACGTCTGTGGCTCAACCTCAAGATCATCGTTATCTTCTTGAACGCGCAATTAGAGCGTTAAGGAGAAGACGATTCACTGTTGCAGCTACAGCGTTGACTGTTAAAAGATTAGAGCTGTTAAGGCTGACTTCCGTTTCCGTTTTTGCGCCGTCTGATACGGCTTTGTTCTCCCGCCCTGACGGTTTCCGTTACGATTACCGTCACCATGTTGTTCCCCAACGGTACCGTTTTGGGGATCTGGCGAGGACCGCGAAGGGGAGTGTGGTAGTAGAGACTCTTGCTCCGAACAAGACGCTCGTCGTGAATTTCGTCGACGGCGTTGTGACTGTTAACGACGTTGTTGTTAATAGAACGGAGGTTTATCGGAATCGGTGGATTGTTGTGTTATCTGTATCGATGTCGTTAGATGACGCCGTGAATTTGCTTGATTACGGCAACTTTGCACCTTCTCTGGCGCCGGTGACAATGGAGATCCGTTATCCCGATGAGATTGTTGAAAGTTCTCCCGCCGGTGTTCCATCTCTGTCGCCGGCGACAACCGAGATCCCTTATCCTGATGAGATAATTGACGGTTTTAACGATGGAGTTCAGTCTCCGGCGCCAGCGACAATGGAGATCCATTATCCCGTTGAGATCAATAACGGTTTTACTGACGAAGCTCAATCTCCGTCGCCGGCGATTATAGACATTCCTTATCCTGATGAGAGAATTAATGCTTCTGCTGCCGGATTTCAATCTCCGGCGCCGCCGATGGCGGTAAATGAAGTGATTGATCCAGGATGTGTGTTCGGAATCCCGGTGGGAATCGAAGGCGGCGATCTGCTCTGTCCGGCGAGTGGTCCACAGAAGCGCAAATTAGAGGAGATAGAGGATTTGAATGATGGACACGTGGCTGCTTATCCACCGTCCGATGTAAAGGATCAGCTATCGGAGGTTGTGAATCAATCTGTGCCGTTGATTTCAAGTGATGAGTCTGATCGAGGTTCAGTGGATAGGGATGGGGAAGAAGAGAATAGGATGAATATTATGGATGAGAACCATATAAACATGGCTGATGATCTCTTCTTTTATTTCTAGATTCTGAGGATATGTTGCATATTGGAGAATCTCTCTGTAAAGAATGCGATTTTTTGTAAAATTAGAGGAAATTAGTTTGTAGAGGAAAAATTGTTGTTTACACTTTTGTATAAAAGAGTGGATTTGATTCATTGGTCGAACATCATTTCATGTTACTGAGCTCATTTTCCAGAAGAAAGGAGTATAGATCAAGCTTAATATGTACAGCAAGTAAGTTGTTACAACAATTAGGAGAGATACAGGTACTTTGGCTTGCTTCATCAAAAGGAAATCAGTATCCGTTTCTGTGGATTTTAATTATTTAATACATCTTCTAAGCTAACATTTCTAGATATTTATTTTCGATATTATTGTTTATATAATTTTGTTTACCCTTAAAATTGGATAACAATTAAACTTATAATATGGTTTTAATGACACGTGATTTCACCTAATACCAATTGACAAATGTAAGGATTAGTAGTAGAAATTGACAATAAGATAAAGCAAACCAGTATTAAACGTAATTTAACCATCGAGCTTGAATGCCCTCGAACTGATCAATACCAAATAACTGAGAGATAAACAAACTGATGAACAAGAATATAAGCTAGAAAGGAATTGTTGTATTGCTTTGATATGCATGAATATAAGGTGTCTACACAATGATTAGAACCCTCTTTATATAGTAGAGGAATCCTATCTATGGTACAATTCTAATTACGGAAGTAAATACCGTGATTAGCCTAAATAATCGCCCTTGATTGATTTGTTCCAGAATTTCGGCCGCGATCTTCGACCGGTCACGGATATCTCGCATTTTCGTTATTGCGCTTTGCTCGAAGCCTGTCATATTTGGTCTCGGTCACTGTTGGCCTCGACCTCGACAGGCACATCGGTTCTCAAACTCGATACCTTGTCTTCTGGTATGATCCACTACGAGGCTGACTTTCGATGCAATTCCCTGGTCTCGATCATATAGTAAAATTGGGTAGGCCCGGTTTTAACCGTATACAGATAGTCCCCTCATTTCTTGGAGTGTAATGAGAAGAAACGAATTGAGCCATTGGTTTTGCACCTCGACCTGTCATGACGCCATCCTCGTGACGTAAGCGACGGAGGCTTCCCATCGGTACAGTTCCCAAAGTCATTAATGAGCGCCGGTAGGTGGTCGGCCACCAGTGCCTTTGAACCGTCGCCGTAAATTCCTTAAATAGGCCCCTTCTCTTATTGATTCAATCTTTACTTTCACTTCATTCTAATTCCTTAAGCTTTCTACTTCTCTTAAGCTTTTTGCATAATTTCTAGGTTTCGTTATCAACCTTCCCTCAAAACACCAAGCCTTATTCTCTTCCTCTTTCTTTAAACTTATACAAAAAAGGCAAAAACGTCAGAAATTGTTTCTCAAAAGGAAAAAGCTTCATCATCACGGCCGGCCGGCGATAAAACACCGGTGGAGCCACGCCCTGAGGAGTGTGTTCCCGGGGTGTGTGAAATTACTTCTGATTTTAAAGTCGAGAAAACTTCGTCGGTCCCTGGTAGATGTGAGCCAATGTCGAGATATATATGCTCGATAACTGAGGGTGACCTTGAGCAGGTGAAGAAAGACTGTCATTGGGAAGATAAAGAGGTGGTGATTCCGGCCCCCGAAGAAGACATCACTACCCATATGAAAGGGTTTCTAAGTGTTTACACTTATCCTTTCACGCTGGGCCTTGTCGATCCCGTAATCATCGATTTTTGCCGTCAATATCAAATAACCCTAGGTCAGATCCATCCCTCTTTTTGGCGGATTGTCATTCTGTTCTGATTCTTCGCGAGCAAAGTCGAAGGGATGTCTTTCACCCTCGACCATCTCATCAGGTTGTACAGCCCCTGTCTCTATCGAGGCGGGCTAATAAGGCTTCAACGTCGGGCTACCAAGGGTTGTTCTCGAGCATAGATGAGGACAAGGATCAAGGATGGATGGGCTGGTTCGTTCGAGTTAAGACTTCCGACCTAATCCCGACCGAGAAGATTTCCCGAGAAATAGAATATGAAGCGTAAGTACAATCCCACCTATAGCTTTCATTTATTGTTTTGTTTCCTTTGCTTCTTCTCATTGACATCCCTTTCTATGATGTAGCGGTCTCTTGGGTACCTGGTGCAATTCTTAACCTTGAGAGCTGTGTTCGGAACCTGGCTTCGACCTCTTCGTATGCTGAGCGCTCATGGCGTGATTTGGCTAGGGGCCGATGAGAGGCCAAAAATCATGGTAAGCCCCCTCTCATGTATTTGATAATTTTTGCTGAAATGTTTCTTTTCATACTCACTTGATTTCCTTTCATAGAGGCCTTGGAGAAATTACTGTCATGAGGCCCCCGTCCGGGGAGGAAGAGGTTTCGCCCCCGGCCTCGAAACCGGCAAAGGATTACAAGAGGAAAAGGGCCTCGACCTCCGAGGACCCAAAGCCCAAGAAAAGTAAGGCTCATAAGCCGAAGAAATACTTCACCGCCTTGCCTGCGGAGGTAGTTCAGCAGCTAAGAGAGGAAGAAGAAGAAAACGAGGACGACGGCTCCGAGCTATTGGCCCGAGTGAAGAGGAACACCGAGGACCCAAAAGCTTCTGAGTCGGTGAGGGTTGGAGAAATTCATCCTCGAACCAAGGAGGTTTTGTTAGAGGGCCCGGGCAAAGTCTCTGAGTCGTTGGAGAACGAAGATGCCTCC